CCAACCGTGTTCTCAACCTAGATAGCACAGAGAATTCTAAAAGAATTCAGTCGTATGTCACCAATTCTAAGTTCATTTTTAGATACAAAAAGAATTCTTTTCACTGAACTGAACTCTGAAGAATTCTTTTTATATCTGAAAATTAACTCAGAATTGGTGATATACGACTGAATTCTTTTTGAATTCTCTGTGCTATCTGGGAAGAGATTATCATAAAGTTTACATAAAAATTCCACGCTAAATATATTTTTACTCTTCTGCAGTATAGAGAGCGCGTATTTTCGTGGATTTTGTCGGCGCGTATATTGTCACAGCTTCTCGTTATTCTTAATTTTTATACAATATACACATGCAACAGAACGTGGTGACTGTTAAACGTTTCGTCACCGCGCTTTCCTTCGAAAAATCTTACGGTTTGGGTATCTCTTCGTCATAAAGATATAAAAACTATATTTTCGTGCAGAAAATATAGCGAAATTCGACGATCGCCGTTTATAGTCTCGGAGAATCACCAGAATTTATGTAAAAATCATGCAATAAGTATCATTCCTTATTGAAACTCTCCTCGGATCTCGCTCGTACACACACAACTATTGTCTTCATAAATTATAATCTTACGCAATATACACATAAACTGGAACATCACTTGTTAATTTTGTCGCACTGTACCGTCCCGCGGTTTAAGAATATCTGCGATTGAGGGCAGAACAGTTTTTCATTCAAGAGTCTCTCTGGTCAATAGTTAGCCGAACGAGGAAGAGATAGATACGATGAATAAACAAATGTACAACGATCATAGAGCGGTGGAGAGTCTTTCGCGCGATTAATTCGCACTTAACGCAACCGCAACGTAGAGAGTTGGAGCAAATCGAACGTAAATACATCGATGTATGAAAAATGACACACTGGTGTGTCAAAATGCTGTAGTCATATTACGGTTTATTACGGTTTATTAGACATCAGTTGCTATTAGGAACGCATCGTTATCTTTCTACGTTACTTTCATAACTCGTAGAGCATCCGTTTTTCCAGAACGCAGTTCTCACACGAATGGAATGACGATGTTTGCAATTATGGCGATAAACATCGTTCAACAATTCCGCCATTACGTCAAACGAACAAGTCAGGTTCTGAGAGAATTTGGAAGACTCCTCGGCTCGGAGATGAATATTTTCTCGCTTGTGTTCGTTAATCGACAGATACAATCGGAGAGTCCAAGAATAGAAGACGTCCCCCTCAGTTTTGCGCTGATCTCTGGTGCTGATTCGACGGCGTCTCCATGCTACCGTAAATCATCTCGGCGTGAGGACAGATCTGGAAAGGCACGAGATCAGGATTACTGCCTTCCTGCTGCGGTGGACCCTGTTGTGTTTGTTGCTGCTGTTGCTGTTGCTGCTGCTGTTGTTGCTGCTGCTGTTGCAACTGCGAGTGCTGTTGCTGCTGTTGAGTTCGTATTATAGCGCCTACTGTGCCGTGTGTCGAGCCCGGCGACGGGCTCACTTGCAAAGGATGCGAGAATAATTCTGTAGATACTATAGGCACTGTGATTGGTATGGGAAGTACATTCACGCTCTGCACACTGTTGGATGCCGGCAACTGCACGCTGGCGTTGTTGGTGTTGCACCGGTTGGCTTGTTGGCACAGATTTGACGGATTGTACGGTATACCCGCCTGCAGTAGAAATTCGATTGGTAAATCCTTAAATAGCCAGTGTCAGACCAAGTGTCTCTATTAAAGTTAAATGTTATCAAACAAATTCAAGAGACGATACGAACATTAAGTAACGGCGTGAGGATCCCATATCGGGCGATAAGCAATTGCTCGGAGACTCTCCTCAGTTCCTCTTGCTGATGAACGATCAGCTGTTGCAGCTCTTCGTGCTTCCTCTGCAACTCGTCCTGTATCTGATTTTGCGCGGGAGTCATCACGATGCCTTGCTGATGTAATATCTATAACAGTAAAAGAAGCTGAAAACTTTCGGCAAGTGACACGATGTACCCAAGATTGCACTTTAATATCAACGTTAAATTAAGACGGAACTTCTTTTATCGATCAATGTGTGTAATCAACTATGCATATCAGAGAGTCACGGACTATTTTTTATCGAATACGCGCAATGAATATCGCATCGTACGAATGCGTGAAATACATGTCGAGCTTGAATTATTTATCTCTTCACCTCGTGAGTAGGCACTGTTGAAAGAATGGGCGCAGCAGGCGTCGCGAATCCTGCGGTGACCGATTGCAGATTAACCGTCGCGTATTGCGCAGGATCCATGAAATTAATACACGACTGATTAACATCCAGCTGGTGCTGCTGTTGCTGAGGCTGCTGTGGTTGTTGCTGCGGCTGCTGCTGCGATTGCTGCTGCGGTTGCTGCTGCGGCTGCTGCTGCGATTGCTGCTGCGGTTGTTGTTGCTGCTGCCTGCTGTCCACCGACGCTATCGACTTCGACACCACAGAACTGCTCGCCGAAGCCGCGTTCGATCGCGATCCGTGTGTTATTTGCGACTGCGGTGAGCTTTGCAACGAGATGGATATCGAGGATGTGTTGGAGCCGTCACCGTGATGTCGTAGATTGGAGGCGACTGTCATCGCCTTGGACGTCTTCGATGACTTGCTCGACCACTGCGCCAACGGTGTTTGGCAGGATGTGGTCACCTGTACGCGTGACAGAATAATTAATTTTTCGAACGTGAATACAACATGCGAGACCGGGAGAGTTTGTTAGTAGCATAGGTATCATTAGCTAAGATATCGTTCAGCACGAATTCCAGTTTGAATAATGATTTCGCGACAATTGCCGAGACCACAGAACCGTTTGTTCCGGTAAACTCAGTTTCTCGCTGACAATTACATCAGCGTGTCTTACGATTTGCGTAGCGCATGTCATCTTACTTGTTTTACAGGCAGTAAAACATCCGGACTTTGCGTTTTATCGTAACCCCCCGTTTCCGCGCGCAATTCCTTCATTACGTCGACATAACTGACCACGTAATGCGTGCACACGATGAATTCAGGTTTCGAGTTCCACTGATTGTACGTGATGTAGAACCTGGTCTGCAACCAAATCCACTGCTGGCCTTTCGTGAGAAATCTGTAGTAGCAGGAGGTTCCCTCGCCCTTCTGCATCACTAATAAAGCGAGAAAGTGGCGTAAATTAATAATCTACTGCGTAGTTTTTCTCATGCTTTTCCCTTAGTTCTTAATACTCACGCGACTCATGGCACGTAACCACATTATCTAAATCATCCACATGATAATAATCGTAACCAGAAGTGCCCAATACTTCGAAAGGCAGATAACCGATAATAGGCGGCGCTCTGTGATCCAGGAACAGGAATTTCCACTCGAGACTATGACGAGACGTGAATTCCGACTTTGTGTTATCCGTCACGGATAACTCTCGGATGAGTTGAGGAGTCTGAAGACGTCCCGTACCCACGAAAACTAATCTGCAAAGAGAAATGTGAGTACAATAACACGGCACGATTTTATTTATGTATTTTATATATGCAGTCGGAGATATAAAATACTTGTTGTCTGATCCACTGGTATTACTAAATTTTTGACTCGGTAGTAGATTGTCAACGTCATTGTCCATCGTGGAACCTGTAACAATACAACATCATTCAACCTGCGCGAAATATCATAAACTAGCAATAGTCAGGGAATATTTTTACTCACGAAAATATCCGATAAACTGTACACATTCGTAGATAGAGTCTTCCCGAAAATCGAGTCCGCCTCTTTTGATATGACACGCGAAAGATATTTGGTCCTCTGTATTTGCACAGATATGACAGATATTGCTTTAATAAAAATCACGTACGAGTAGCTCTTATACTTTTCGATAATCGCAAAGTACCTTTCTTCACGGTGTGTCTGTCCCGTGTGCTGCCAGGATTCAGCAAAATATTGTATAAGTGCGGCTGATCTTCCTGATACGTTATATCGTAAATAGTCGTGCTCTCCAGTTCGTTTGGAAGATATCCAAGCAAGGAGGTAACGCTTTCGGACACGTAATAAATACGACCGTTCGACGAGAAAACCATTATGAAGCCGTCCAGTGCCTGAATTTGTATAAAAGTTGACGTAAAAGTTCATATGCAATTAAATTTCTGCAATATTAAAGTTTATTGCAGCCTCATGATTGATTAGGCGGTTTTACCTCTAATATAAGATGCGTGAATTCCTCGTTCGAGAGAAAGGACGGCTTCCAGTCTTCTTGAATCTCATGGACCCTCGATCTAACTGCTATCTCTGAAAAAAAACAATCAATATAAAAACTGTGTATGCAATTTTTACAAAAAATTGTGTTTTAAAGGTTCATTCAGACACGATAACACTTTCTATTTCTCTAGAAACGAAGTTTAATTAATTGACGGACTCTTTAAGAGGAACATTTTAGTAGATTTATGTTATTTCAAAAAACCTACCATTGTGATTCTTTAAAAATAGAATTGTCGACTTCAACACCGTGGATTTGTCCATTTTCCGCGTATTAGCACTGACCATGCTGCCGAGCTCGTTGACGAGCATGTTAAATTGATCTCTGCGTTTCTTTTCGCTGAGATTGCGCGATTTTCTAAAAGGTAGACATCAACGCATTTAACACTCATCGGGGCGAGAATCAAAACATCGCATTAGTATCTTAAATGCGTCTTATTTTCTTTTTAAATTTAGATACTCTCTCTTACCGTTTTGTATCATCTTTGTCGTCGATATCATCGTCCATGGTGTCACTAGAGACAAAACGCATGCTTTAATTTACAACGACATAAAAGTTTTCAAAATAAAAAAGTTAATACAACAATTCTCTTCTCATATTAATATTACTATTGCTTCTATGAGAGAAGATTATTGACGTAGATTATATATCGACATGTATTTACATTAATTTTACACGTCGCAACGAGTTTATTGATTTAATGTTATATCAATTATTTCACAATTCATTACCAAGAATTTGCATAATTTTGATATATATAAACAGACAATAATTACATTATTTATATTATATAATGATGTTAATTCCAGAGAATACCGACCATTCGAATAAATCAGTACGGTTGAATTTTGACATGCACAATTGTATTAAGTGGAAACAGATGCGTGCGGCAAACGTGACTAGACAAAACAATCAACTACCAATTTATCTATCAGTAACAGTCGTGGGCGCGTCCATTTCTGATTAAAATCGTACAATGTCTAATTAAATCTATATGTAAACACATAAGAAGAAAATATTGCGATTTATAATTCTGACGATAATTCTGACGTTAAAAACAGAAAGTGATCGAGTAATGATAATTCATTCGCGAGCATTAGCATCATAAACACGCCGTCCATATAAAACATTACTATATTTTTTACACAGCAATTATATGAAATTTGGTTGCACACGCAATCTTATTTAGTACATAGAATATATATATAGATGCATCTTTATCAAGTGCATGTTTACATTACGCATTTCTTTTGTCAACCAAAGCAATATATGTTTCGCAACGCGGTGATTTCCTGGTTATTTCTTTCGCGCACTCAGATAAGGATTTTTCTGCGAAGTAACTGTCGATTGCTAAAGGGCTAGTCAAAATACGCCGCGGTAATCGGGATACTAAATTTTTATCACAGGAGAAACGCTCGAGAAGAAACGATCGCAGAGAGCAATTGTCGCGACGAAAAGTTCGCCAAGATCGCCAAAAAAAACGCAATCTCGAGCTACCGTGCGACGCTTAATCGCGCGCAAACAATCCGGACGCGTCGTTCAAACGATTGCTGACGATCGTTAATGTGACAGAATTAAGATCCTCCGGAGATAAGAGCGTTTACCCGCGAATATCCATCGGCGTCGAGTATCAGGCGTCTCGTCCAATCGACAGGAGGAACGTCCTCGCCGTCGGCAGCCTGCCGTGCACCGAATCTACGTGTATCTATTGCGCACGTATGCGCGCGCGATCGCAGCACGCGAACTCTCAGGTTGAAGGAGCACGTTGGGCCTCCTCGGCCTCGATCTGACGTCGATCGTTCCTCGGCAGCCTCGTGTTCACGATTCGCACGGGGTGACGTCTCCGTCGGCAGCACCGCCACATCTTTCGATGGGAACAGCCACGACGAGCATCCGCTTCCCCGACGATATTTCCACGCGCAGTCGGTGATGCGAATTACGCGAGACGCTGCTGCAATAGACTGCCGACGTCGACCGTAGCGCCTGCTCGCATCGTTGCACTTAGGTTCATTAGCCGCCGCGAGTCTAATCGATCGTGCTCGCGAGTTTTTACGCGCGATTCCACGGCGATTGCGAAAACCCGTGGCGGAACGCAGAGAGCGGTAGGCCGCAGTAGAAACAGACGAGCCAGAATTGCCAACCCGCCTCGGCGAAAGTCCCCTTCGCTGTGCGAAACCGCGCAGGTCGACCCCACGCGACATTCTCCGCTTGATATTAGTCGATCATTTTCCTCCGCCGGGGGATCTGGTAAATTACAACTTGCCAGTACCTCAGATGTACTTTGATTTTCCACTGAATTCCGTGACTCGATAATAATATATCTCTTATATCATATCTTCGATGGCTGGATCATGCCTTTAAACAATTGGAATAGAGAAATGGAAACATATAGATTTTTATCACAAGATCTATTTTGCAAAAGAGCAACGACAGAGTTCTTTTCAATAGAAAGGGTTTCAGAAAAAATTGAACTGTGAACCTCACGTTGACAAACGCAATAGAAAATGCAGCACATGATCAGACGTTTCCAGCACGCGTTGTCAGTGGAAAGAAACGTCAGTTTTCCGTAATATCGTAACATTTTTGAAAGAAGATTCACTCGTTTTATCGTACATTTTTCCCGTTATAAAAAAGCAGAAAAATAACCGAGTTTCGACACTCGCACATTTCATCATTTCCTCGAATTTCGCGAGAGTTAAACAATAATTACAATTCTCACTTGCCTTCCGCATAATCATTCAGCTCGATACAAGGAAAATCCTGTTTACATTGTCCGCACTGAAGCACGTCACCGTCGGCCGACTTTACGATAGATTTTCACGTAACGATAGCGACAGGAGAACCGTTTTCCAACAGCGCGCAGTCGCGGCTTTATCGCGTACTGCAATCGCAATGCGCATTTGCAGATGCCGTGGTATACGTGTGTGACATATCAGCTCGCGGCGCACATTCAACACCGCGATTGGCTGGTGCATGCATTCATTTCGAACACCAGTCTGCCCGCCACAAAATGCATCTCGCCGTTGCAACGTCGCTAAGCGCCCGTAATGCAATTTGCGATCGCCGTGACGGCTGATATGGCGTAAAATATCGTTGCGACAAATATAAATCTGCCCGATACTTGCGCCAAGCTGACGGCAACATTGTTACACAAAAAGATACTCACCACGATGTTCCATCTCTGCGAGACAACGAATGCGGCTACTTATCTCGTCGAGACAAGGAAGAGAAAAATGTTGACGAGATGTCCCGAGATTATTTCTCATTTTCCAAGATTAGGTAGTGAGATTAGCACAGAATCAAATTCGATCTGCACACGGAGCAAAGGGTGGGGGACAAGAAAGCGCGCGATATTTCAATAAATTTTACATAATGTTTATTATTTATAGTGTACTCAGAAATGTCGGGCCTCAACCAGTGGGCCTTCTTCTTTTGACATATTTGATCAATGAACATCACAATGTTAATTTTCCCCTAATCCGTATAGTTACTTCATCTTCTCTATTAAGAGTGACGCGCAATCTGCTCGTGGCGCTGAATCGACGAAATCGGCATTGCACGACGGTCTGTCGTCCGCGTTGTGCTCCGGGTTTACGCGTTAGGTCACGTTGAATTGGCCACGGTCGAGAAACCCGCTCGCAGGAACGGAGACGGACACCACAAGTGGATGTCCACGAGCCGGTAGGCCGATGCGCGCCGGTCGTCACATGAACCGGATCGCGAGACTTGAACGAACGTAACGAGCGGATTGCGCCTCGCAAAAAATAGATATGTCCAGCTTCGCGACTCTTGGTTCTCATCCACGATTCAACATGCCAGCATATTCGTACAACAAAACATCGAATAACAACTGCATATAAAAACAAAACGAAAGGAAGAGGTCTACATCTCTTAGCCGCAACTCGTCGTTAAGTTCCGAATTTCGATCGGCGCATATATATGTATCCGACAACCAATAATATTCGACAAGTATATTAAAAATACAACGCATCAGTAAATCTTCTCTTTTCTTTTTTCGTTTTTACCGTCTTTCTCTCTTTCCTTCTCTCTTTCTCTCTCTTTCTCTCTCTCTCTCTCTCTCTCTCTCTCTCTCTCTCTCTCTCTCTCTCTTTCTCTCTCTTTCTTTCTATTTTTTTTTACGTATTACACGAGTCGTCGCCAAATTTACACATACGTTTTCTCGCCGTCAGAAAACGTCACGCTTCATGTTGTCCATTTTGGGCCGACATTCGAGGAGTTCCTAAAAATGACGGGTTCAAAATTAGGAGATGAAAAGGGAGAGGATGGCGGGAGGGAACGGGGGGGAGTGGGGTTTCGACTTTCCTTTTCTCCACTTACTCGCATTACAGTAACCAACCGTTTCCCACTGTACACGCCTCTTTCTCTGCTCGATTCTTCGTCCCTCTGCGGACAATGAAAAATTAAAGATACGCACGCGTCGCGTCGTGAAACGAGACGAGACGAGACGTGACGTGACGGGACGTTGCGTCCCGACGCCCATCTCCTCGGCCTTATCACCGATTCGTCGGGTTATCCTGTCCGCTTCGATCCCCGACGCGACTAATTGAAAATTCACCACGGGCCAGTCGTCGACGATTCAGAAGCATTTGGACAGCAACGGATGCGCTTCGTTCGTTATTTTCTGTTCCGACAGTGTCGCTTAATTGTACTTCGTTACGGGACGGGAACAACCGGCACACACGCAAGCTTGGTTTCGAAATCAAGCAATCGGAGCATCTCGAAACGAGAGAAGAAACGAAGGAACGATTGTGTCGCACAACTCTTACGAACGTCTCGCGCTCTGCGCATGCAGTGCTTTAAACACGCGTACATGCACGCACGTACGCGACAAAACTTTTGCGATCGCTCGCATCGTCGTTATTCGCACGTCGTCCGCTACTGAGTTCGCAACCGGAGAGCGACGCGAGCTCGTGCTGAACCTCGACCACTGGCCGGCGGGTACACGCTAATAAATGGCGCGGAGGCGGCAGTGGCGCGAGGATACATTTAAGTTCTCGTTATAGGAATCGTGGGGGACTCAATATTCGAAAAACTTGGTAAAAATATCGGTGTTACCTCGCGCCGCTCGGCACGCCCGCCCGCTGCTCTTATATCTGGCCCACCTTAATTAATTCTCTTAAACCTCCGTAAACACCTCGTCCAGCCTAGCGCTATACGAAATGATCGCGTTACGAGATACGATAATATATATATATTTATAATATATATATAATATATATATATTATATATTCTACATTACATTACTATGTTCGAAAAATAATATTACAATATATAGTGTGTGTTGTTATGTGTATTATCATTTTTGTTTCTCTTCTTATTCCTCCTCTCCTCCACGATAGTTTCGCCTCACATTCTCACTTATCGCTTTTTTTTTTTGTTTTCCTATTATACGCGCGGTAATACCTAAAATTTACAGTTAGTTATACACGGCGCTCGACGCTGCTGAGAGGAGGCCGACGATGTAAGAGACGGTGGTTCGATCTGGCGCGTGTGTGAATCCGTTGTAAAAAAATTATATCTCGCAATGGATAGAAACGCGACTCTCTGGCTCGATATATTGTATATATAAAATCGTCGGATAATGTAACAAATAACGCTCAATGCCGGTAGACCGACGACGGTGTGCTCGTTATCTCTTCAATGAAACTCACTTTTACCGTCCGCCCGTCAATTTCATCGTCAACAAGTATACCGATCGACCGAAGGCGTCATCTTATAAGCGGCGTGGCTCCAACTCAAACGTGACGTTCTTGTCGGTCTAATTCGCGAAGCCTTAGAATCCAAAAAGCAGAAAGAATTCAAAAACGAAGATTTGTAAAACGCTTATTAAGTAGACTTAGTCAAGTAGACAAGGTATATAGTTGCTTCTTGAAGACTTTACTCTCGGATTTCTTTCTCTATCTCTTCCTCTCTCCTTCTCTGTAGCTCTCTTCCTCTCTCTCTCTCTCTCTGCTTTCATAACTTTAAGGCACCATAATCGAAATGAAGAAAGATCGATTCGTACCGCTACTAAAATATCGCCTTCAATTCCCGTCGTTTTCGCCTTTTCATCTCGCTCTCTCACGTCAATCGACTGTTTGTCTCGTGCGTTCTTCAAAACTGCGGAGACCACAAAAGACCTTGTGGAAGGCAACGCTTATTATCTACCACGGAATGCCCTATGAGATTTATCTTCAGCGTTATGCGCGTCGGTTCGTTCTCAGCAGCGCGCGCAGTCATACTACCAAATCCTTTTGGTGTGTAAGTGTGTGGATGTAAAACCGCTAGGCGCTTCTCTTCTCTCTTTTTCTCTCTCTCTCTCTTTCTCTCCTTTTCTCTGTCTCTGTCTCTTTCTCTCTCTTTCTCTTTTCTTCTCTTTTTTTTAATTTGAATAACAACCATTTTTTTAATTTGTTTCACTAAATATATCACAAACTGCCGGCGGCTAGTGCAGCTCTCGGATTCTCGCTGAACGTGACGCTCGCTGTCGTCGCTCGCGGTGAACGGAAAACGCGAGAAACGCGGCGTTCAGCGCCAACGCGGGAGCTACCACCGGAAAAATATAACGTTAAGGGATTACATGTTAATAGTTACATCACTGTCGGAAGACGCAGCGACCCGAAGGATCGTCGGGACACTACCCTTGCGTCTAGGTATCCAGAAAATCCTTCGTCCTCGTCCCCAACGTACGGTTAGTTTAAGTGTCGAACTAGTAATTTTCCGTATATTATGCTGCCACAGAAGATTCTCTTTATTCTTAAAGTGTAAATATCTTTATAAATTCATGACCTTACATATTACGTGATTTTACTTTTTTTTTTCTTTATTCTTTAATCTCGTAGATTCCCGATAGATTAGTTTCAATTTAGGCTTCACGCGTTTGTTCACTGTTGATTTTTTTTTTTTTATGTTTTCTTTTGTTCTCGAAAACTTGTAGTCAAGGGGGGCGACCGTGTTATTATGTTCAGAGGGGCATGACGGCGCGGGCAGGGGATTAGAGATCAAGCCATTCTTCATCGGATGTAAAGTAAGATACAACATCGAATCGCTTTTCTCTTTTCTGCGGATAAAGGCAGCGGGAACTAATATTGCGAACAAAAGTGTGTCTCAACATCACAATGTCGGGGAGAACGCTCGACGGGGAAGAATGTGTCATAACAAAGAAAGATATGCTCGAACGGCAACGCTGATCGAGCAACAATGGTGGTTATCACCGTCGATTTTTCGAAAAGAGAAAAAAAAAGATTTCACATTAAAATAGGATATCGCCTCTCCACGTAAAAATGCAATCGAAACTCCGCGATAAATATGGATTATTTCTTCTCTCGGCAACTAATCCATATCTATAATTCGGGCATCTTAGCACCGAATTTTTCTGTAGATCTAAACGAAGTAAAAGGATACCAAACTTCCGTCTCTTCATTTCTATAAAGATATACATAAAATAGGAGCTTAATTTGAGACCGGTGCTACGACAGATTCGCATTTAAATCGACGGCAAGAACCATCACGTGACACGGAAGAAAATGCGGTAAATAGGCAACGCTGACGACTCGTCATCTGTTAAGCGGCTCGATTTTTCGCTACGCGCGTTAATAGGAGATGTTCGCTATGTGCATACAATTATTATTAGCGTGGCACTGGGGAACGTGCGAATTATTCTACTTGTGGATGGGTTAAAACGCGCTGTCTGAAACTACGTGTATACGTGTGCATATACTTTTATAATTATACGAACACGTGTGTAACATATGTATATATATATGTGTGTATATAGCTATATTTATTTATGTATGTATGTATGTATGTATATGTGGAATGGTGTGGGCGTGAGGTTGAGGGTCTAAGAAGCGTATCGCAAGAGGCGCAAAGCTCACACACAAGCGGGGAAGAAACACGCTCGATATTAATCGATTTCAACACGGAGATGACCACTCGAAGATAATGAGGGAGTGAGCTCGGATCCGTAATAGTTAAGTATCGGACCCGGACGAAACGAACTCCTCTGTTGTGTGCTACTCTCTAACACGTTATACTTGAAAATCGTCGATTAAAGTGCAATTATACAGTGTCTCGCACAAGCCGTAAGTAATACGTATATTCACTATACCAACTAGTATTTAAAGTTAACCAGTAGTAGACTCACACTTACGTGATCGGACAAAACGGAGTATTCGAGTACAGAGGAAGTTCGGACACGGGCACAGGGTTTGGGGTGGGCAGGGGCGGGCAGGGAACACTTGGGACACTTTTCTTCAGGCCGAAGGTGCATATGAACGTTTTTTTTTCTCCAAAGCGGGTATTTTCTGACTATAAGATCTCTGTGTGTCACCAGCGAGATGGAGTATTTTTTGAGAGCGTGCCTCCTGGAAAGTGGGTACGTTGCGAGAGCTCGAAAGAAGCGATTTGTTCTCCCGGTATTTTCACACCTCTAACACTCTACTTCATCTAAGAAGATGAAGAAAAAAGGAATTGTCATAGTAGTTCTTGTGTATAATATTGTATAGACACTAAGCGTTACTGGCGCGAGATTAAATCCTTCTTTCTTTTCTCTCTTTTCTCGTACTCTCGCACTCCCGCACTCTCTGTCTCTCGCTCAGGGAAATGGCGGGATAAAAGGTAGAAGCCGAAGGGAGGGCACGAAAAGCGGAAATGAAGTAACGAAACGGCAGCGCGAGAACGTCCGCGGCTCGGACTGCTCTCTTTCTCTCTCTCTCTCTCTCTCTCTCTCTCTCCCTCTCTGTCTCTCTCTCTATCTCTCGAGGTCTCCTATCGCGGCGAATCGAAAGGAATCGCAGGGAGAATTAATTCCCGCAAAGGGACCGACCCGGTAGTAGCAGCAATGGTCACTAATCTACTAGAGCTATTAAGCTTAGGCTGATACATCAACATGCAATTAGTTTGTTCAGTAAAACTCTCATTCTAAGTGGCGGGCTACAATGTACCGCTAGGTGTTAATAACCTAATTCAAAAATACTATAATCTTCGTTAGCTTAGTCAAAAAGTTAATATCCATCAACATCGAACTACCAATGTCAAGGCTCTTTATCTAGAAGATCGCTTAAATGTTTTTTTCGTGCTTTTTTTCATTTTTTGTTCTTTTTTACCTAGACAATTTCCCATTTATGTTCGCAGGGTGTCAAGTTAATCGGGGCATTCCTCCGTCATTGGCGAACCTCGGTAAATACCGTTGCGCGACATGTAACAACGTAACGCGCGGCGGGGTAGGATGACACGTACCCGGTCGCCGCGGGTTTCCCAAACGAAATGTGTTATTTCCCCCTCTTTTTGCTTCCCGCTCTTTCCTATCGCGTTAGATTTTTTTTTCGTGCCAGCTGGAGGAAAATCGCCCACGTGTGTTCGGGGGGAAAAAAGTCTGCGTAGGTATATGTATATATATTTATATATGTTATATATATGTATATATATATATATATAGTAGTACTTTGAATATATAAAAGGAACTCTCTTGTGAAGAATCGCGTACAGCATCGAGGGAGCGATTGCTCAATCGCGAAACGTGTGTTCGCGTACACGCAAAGCACACGTGCACCTACGTGTACGTGAAACAGCACGTCCGGTCGCTTTCCACGTGTTCCACAAAATTCATCTCGTTCCCGTTTCCTTCCACCGTGCTAAACTCTCTTCCTCTTCGCTTCTCTCACCCGCGCGAGGTCTTTTTGTTTATTTTCCGTTTTGCAGCTCTTCTCTCGCTACTCGCGAGAGTCATTACGCACCACAACCAGGGAAACACCCCGCGCACGAAGTCTCAAGGACTCCGCGGAGAAACCCGATCGCACTTCCGCGACGATCTCGATTTTACGCGGGACCTTTCACGTCCCGCACAATGGGACGTCGCCCGGATAACCGTGCCGTTCGAACTGTATAATACCACCAAGGAACTCGCCCGCCTTCGTCTAAATATCATCGTGTCACGGCCGACACGCTCACGCGATTCGCCGTAGAATAAAACTCAAAAATATATGCGTGTATATGTATCTTTGTACATATTCGTTCTGTTGTACCTACTATACCTAAAGTGAGACACGTATGTACACCGTCACCGGCGCTACAGATACTTTTGCCTGATCATACGATCGCGAATCTACAACCAAAGCCCGTCGTGTCATCGATTGTGCCTTACATGTAGTTCAAGCGTCGCTCATATTCAAAACAGATCTCCATCATCTCGAATTTATTTCTCGTTTCTCAAAAAATTACTCGATAGACGCCTGACATTGCAGTCTCGAAAATCGCATCCCTTTCAGCCGCGCGATAAATCTCTCAAATATGAGCGACACCTCGATAGAAAACTATTTGCGCGGAATTCGGTTTTTTTCCCGTTTTCAAGTGGCGATCAAGTCTGTTCCTAGCGTGGACGGTCTGTATATCCTCACGTCTCTCCTGTGTCTTGTACGACTTCATCCCCCGAGACCGTTTAATACGTCGCTATTCCATGCGTCTCGGATATTATCTCTGAGCATTCCACCCGCTACATCGCATCGGAATATCGAGTTCTCCGATAGTTTCCCGCGCACTAATATTGAATATCTCAATTATTATATGTTGAACGAGAAGGGAGGTACAGATAAAAAGACATCTCCCCCTTTCCGATCAGTCTCCTGTGAATTCCTTTGTCCACCGTACCGAAATGGGACGCTCGTTGCGACGCCGTTGAAACGCGTTTAAATTTTTCGTCTGAAATTCGACGTTTCCCCCGAAACGCATTCGCGCGAGTATCGCGAGTGAAATGCCTCGAGAAAATACCTCCGCTCCGCTCGCTCTCTGTCTTCCGCTTCGATGTTTTCTCCAAACGTTTCACGGTCCGACGGCGATCGGCTGAATTTACGAATAATATCCCCGTAAATCCCGTCGGAACTCCGTGCACGTAATTTCGGACACGCAGCCGGCGTAATCGTGCAATCCGATTAAGCGGATTAATCGCCGAAACGTAGCGAGCGCTCGTTCGGGCATTCGTTCCCTCTTTCGTTCGAGTAATCGCGTCTATCACCACCATAAGTCGGACGCGCCGACCGGTTTCTCCGCGGAGCGAAAACGCGCTTCGCGATTCATCGTTCTATACTTCCCCCCTATCTCTCCCTCCGATCTCTAATCAACTATCTTCTCTTTCTCTCTCTCTCTCTCTCTCTCTCTCGCCCTCCTTCTCATTTGCATTTCCTTCTCCTAGCAGAGTCAAAAATGCGTAGCGCGCAAGAAGCTAGGTAGGTACACACGAGCATATCCGGCCAACGAGCGACAGAACGCATGAGAAAAGGACCGACCGTTTTTCGTCTTCTTCTTTGTTTGATTTGTTCACGCAGCTCTTAGGAGATCGTGCTCGAGGGACTTATTCGTTTGCGTTGCTGCGCATACAGGCATGGAACGTGTTCGGGACGCGAAGAGACGACTTCGCAACATTCGCGAAGCAACGTGTACGCACACTTGACGCTCACGAACGGCAGTCCGGTTGAGAATTAACGTCCGGACAAAGTATGACAGCTTTTGATCTGCGAGTAGTCGCGTTTCTCATGCGATCCGGCGGGCAATCGTTGGCCATGCGAAGCAGCGTTCCGTTTTTAAGCGGCAGCGTATATAAATCACCCGCCGAATTCGACGCCGGCCGCGCGCGCGCGCGCTAATAAATGCGAAAAACGTCTCTCGTCGATTTTCTCGCGAGGTCGCGAGGAAACGGCCGATGGCTACGGCGGCGTTGAATTCGGCCGGGCGCGTTTTCCTACGTTGATTACAAATAATTGTTTTGCTTTGTGATTGCTTGCTGCAGCAGCTAAAACCCTTGACTCAAGTTGGGAAGCTCAAACTCCAGTGGATTCGTCATAACGTTTCCGTCGTGTTCTCATTGTCTTCCGTTTTCTTTTTTTTTCCTTTTTATCTTTTGTGTATCTTTCTTTCCTTTTTTCTTCATTTTTAGAGTTTTCACTTTTTTTTAGAATGGCTCTCGTGGTATATTTACGTCCATGAGTCGGAGTAGCGCTTCGTTCCTTCCTTTGCTTTTGTCCGTTTTTCATTTTTTTTTATTCGCAATAATTATCGTTAATTATAATATTCGTTTACGCGTCGTGTATTTACTAGAGGTTTTGGTATTAAAGGGAAAGACGGGTAGTACTGTCCGACGTCGATTTCGCTCTCATTAGATGCGCTGTCTGTATGTGACCGTTTTGTGTGTTTTTTTTTCTCATCACCTAAAACTAATTCATCGTTTATATAGCGATATCGGAGAGGAAAATCCGTTCGAAAATAAGCCGAAGGCATCCCGGTCGTTTCTCTCGTTCTCGAGCGCGTCGGGATCAGGGCGTACCTGAGCTTTAACGAACCGTACCATCGCGAGACGACACGAAAGGAGGAGTTATCGATAACTTCTCGAAGGACTTTGCTCGTCTAAACAGGCTGAGCGGCTGGCAGCGAGTGGGACGAATCTGAATGTCGTTCCTGCTCTTGGTGTCTTTCCGTACGAAGACGTAGTGTGTATAATAAACGGATCTAGTTACAGCTTTTTCTCTTGTTCTCTTTTTCTTTTATATACCGATACCGAAGAAGAAGAAGAAGAAATGACCGCGGGGGACGAGCGGCGCGGGTCCCCGGTGGTTTTCTCTACGGAAAAGTATTCGAATATATATATTTATATACTCTAAGTGTGGAATCACAATTGAAAATATCTCGCTCTCCTCTTCGTGGTGTCATTGAATCACTTAAATGGACATTCATAGATTATTGTACTTAATTTTATATATAATATAACGCGTGTGTATCTCTTCTTTCTCCTTTCTCTTCCTATTCGTATCTAATTAAATCTATGTATATACTAAATGTGTGTGTATGTGTGTGTGTGTGTGTGTGTATGTATGTGGACACGGAGGAACTCGTCCGTACGTCTTTTCCAATTCATTTCGATGAATTTTCTACGTATATCCCTCTTGTGAATTACGCGTTTTTCTTTTGTATCGTTTTGCGCGCACCCAACGGTACCGAGAACGAAAAGGCGGGCGAAGTTACGAACGTGCGAATCGCGGATTCACGGATATCAGAAGCGACGACGTCGACGAGAACGAAAAGTCAAATGATCCCGAACTCATGACTAGAACCACGGTGTCTCGAAAAAAGCACATTGGAAAAACGGAGAGAACGGACGAACGAACGAGTCTTGAAAATCTAGTCAACGCTAAGATCTAAGAGATTTCTTTCGTCGCAAAGGAGGACGAATGTATACGTCAATTATAAAACGAATTTATATTTATATAGTCCATAATAAAACGAATTGTTCACTGTGTGTAACACACGCGCGTGAAAACACTTCTTTTCCGCTCGTCCGTGAATTCGTTTAACGAACTCGAATTCGATGACGCGATCCTAGAATCCTCAGTACTTTGTTTATTCTGTATCTACGCTAATCGAGTTACTTTTTCTCTCCCTCTCTCTCTCTCCCCCTCTCTCACTCCCTCTCTCTCACGCAATAATACTATTTTTATATACACGAGTAATTTACAAAGTTGAACTTCCAGCTATTCGCGCCTACTGGCAGCCTCGGATCTTTCCCTTCTAATACCAAAGGTGTATAATCTGTGTTTATTTTCCTTTTGCTTTGATAAGAGTGTCCTTTGATTCTTAAATGCTGTACAGGAACATTTACTTGCTTAACCCTTTAATCACTCGTTTAATATTTTTTTTTTATTATTTATTACTTTATATCCGTAGGCTATACTTATTTTGTCGTTAGAGTACTTTGTTATATACCTAAGGGTTCTCTCGTTTAAATAATTAATTATACTATCGTCCAAGTGATCGATTTTGAAAACGATCAATGTGTTAACTGAATTTAAAAATAAAACGCAAATGAGTAAAATACGAGATACATTAATGGTGTAGTAAAAAAGAAACTTAATAAGTGTGAGTGCGTAAAGGACCCGGACCCATCATCATGACTAGTTCAAAAGTGCATTTTTCATTTCGCAATATATATATATATATATATATATATATATATATATATATATATATATGTATGCGTGTATATTTCGGTACGAAAATTCTCGATAGATCGTTATCTCGTGTCGTTGGTCGGGAAAGTTGGTGTAAGCCCTCTCCTGGACGGTAAAAAGTGTCTTTCAAAAATCGCCACGTGTGTGTCTGCATATGCGGTGAAATCGAGGGTCCCACTGACTGGCCCTCGAGCCCGGAGGCTCCGCGAACCCTCCATGAGAGCGACTCCCACAGAAGGGGACGAATTCTCTCGAGCGGACAACCAGCCTTGAAGATATCCCCGAGAAAATCAGGTCCGCGGGTGTATCTTAACGTTAATATATCTTCGGCGTATATAATGTATATATAACTCGTAAGAAAATATTGCTCGGAACATCTGTTTCTGGACGCGAGTGAACGTGTGTCGTTTGAATTTTCATCTATGTGAAAAAGAAATGGCGGAAACGCGTATGCGGATGTGTGCCCGAAGTGCACGCGAAATCGACGCTGATCGACGGTGGGAGACTCCGAAGACGCGATCAGACGTGCACGAAAGAATTAGCATGAAGAATGCATTTAATGACGAAAGACTCGATCGATGGAGGGGGTCCTTCACGCGACATGTACCACGGGGGTAAAACGAATAATTATCGATTAATCAAAGATCATTAACGCAACAATTAAAGTATCCTTACGAAGAATCGCACTTTAAGACTGAAACAACGTACAAACTTATTTCCTATCGATCGTGTAAACCTATACACGCGATCCAGCGGATCGATTGTTTCACTTTTATATAGTTTTTCGTTTGTTTCGAAGAGCAGATATAAAACGATTCCTTTCGTCTCTCTTTCTCTCTCCCTCTCCTTCCCCCTCTCTCTCTCTCTCGCTTTTTCTCTCTCTCTCTCTTCCTTTCTCGGCGGTTCTCTCTTGGCCGAAGAAGTATTATATCACGCGATATCTCCTTTCGCGATCGCTCTCGTTTATACTCCCAACTCCCCCAAAAGAGGTCTGTCCTTAGTTAAATATAATTTCTTATCGTATGCATATAAATTTGTCATATACACATTTGTCGTAGTGTGTATAGTAATTAAATAGCGCCTTTCTCTATTTCACTCTTTCCGCGCGCCTATACGATTTTCGGCGTTCGCCCATTTCTCGCGAACCGAAAGTGAGACGGTCGAGAGTCAAATAGTCGCCGTAAACCTCGTCCTAAGGCTCGTCGTTCCTCTCGCGCGAGAGAAATCGATCGCTCCAACAGTTCCTGACATTCCGGCGTTCCATTTCCGAGACCATTACTCCGCTCCGTTCGCCTAATCGTCGCCAATCAATCCGCCGATAACTATTATGCTCCCCTTCGCGCGAAATCGTTATACCCTTGCATATACATGCATATATATACATATATATGCATGCGTATGCATGCATATACATATTACACGCCTCTCTTTCATATATATATACACACATGCGTTTACATTATTATCATAAAAACAAAATATAATTGAGATTTGTTATATACGAGTATAAAAAACGTTCGTTATGCGTCACCGCGCGTTTTATAATCATATCTCGTGTAAATTATTTCTTCTCTCATCTCGTCTCGGTGATATTTATCGTCGTTTACGCTTTTGTATTTTACGTTTCTCTTTCTCCCTCAAAATCAGCGTCCATCAGTCATTCGTACGCTCGCGTTGATTCGCGGCCCCTAGCTAATCTACTTATTCGGTACAATTACAACTTCTCTCATGCCAGAATCTGACATGAGTATATATATATATATATATATATATATATGTATTATGTATAATATTTATACGTCCTTATATGGAACAATATTTCGTAACTCTCTTTCTTTCTATCTTTCTCGCTTTCTTCCTTGCTTTCTTCGGGCTCTTTCACAAGCGTACTTTACGTTGCGCGAGCACCGCGCGTCACGGCGAGTGAGGACGCGCCAAAACAGCGAATCGGGAAAGGGAAGAGAACCGCGAACACGAAAATGAAACGTAGCTTCCTCGAGCGACGGACGAGTCGAGACATAAAGTTTCTCGTAAATATCATCGATCGAATCCTCGAAACAGAATGAATTCTGAAGCGGAGATGATGACGAAAAGTCGCGTTGTCCTACAACTATATACGCGACACTGCGTTCTCTCTCGCTTTCCGATCGTGAGACGAAGTCGATTGCATCCGTGACATCGAGACAACATAAACAGAAGTCCAGGATCGCACGAGAATGAAAGATCTTCCCTTCATCTCTGTACTCGGCTGCTCTCGAGGAAGCTTCGCCGATCGCCTTAAAGAGATCGGGAGAGGAGCTCGGAACAGCTTCAGTGACATCGACGCGCCGACAAGGTAGCCATATGGAAACTCGAATCGACGTTAAATCGCGGGTCATCGTTCGCCAATCCGCTCGATCGCCGAGAAGAATGATCGTCCCGACGACGACGAGGACGCGTCCGCTCACGAATCTCTCGTCGTCCTTCCGCCGGTATCTCGCAACCTTCGGTCCAGGCGACATCCCTCAGCGCGCGACACGAGCGGGTCAACGAGAGAGAAGGGAATCCGTGGAAGTTGAGACGCCGAGCGTCGAGCGGCTCTCCAGGTTCTCCCGGAGCTCGACGAGCGATTCGTCTCGAGCGATTCGCCTGTTCGCGACGATTTGTCGCGGGAAGCCAAATGCAGATCGAAAGAACGAAAAGATAACTTCTTAAGGAAGACTTCGCTTGCTAGCTCGCTGTGTGATCGTGGCGGGTATTACGACGACTCTCTCGGCAACTACTACCCCCTTTGCGCGCCAACGCGACGATCCACCGTATATTGTTAGATCTTCTCCCCCGCCTATCTCGGCGATCGTCTTTCCACAGCCGTGCGATCTACGCGACCCATCTCACGCTGATGAAACGAAAGGAAAACCTAGGGAGAGAGACCCTATACGCGTTTCCTTCCTTTCCCCGTCCCGACTAAGCGCGACAGGAACTCTCTCCGTTTTCCCCCTATTTCCATCTTATTTCCTTCCTCCCTACCCTCCCACGACACGTTGTTTTCCGTCTGTCACCTGAACGTGCGTTCGCACATTCGTGTATTACGAGCGTGTACGCCGGAGAGGAGTGTCGCGGAGGCATAGCGGCGTGCTGTTGAAACTATCGAATCGACGACGACGTTCGCCGTCTCCTCCTTCACCTTTTCCTCCGCTTCTTCGTCATCTTCCTCGACTTCCTCTTCTTCCCCGTCGCTCTCGCTTTGCTCGCCGTCGTGGCCGATATCGAGTTCCCGACGTGCGCGCGAATGCGTGCTCGCGCGAACTTTTATCGAATCCTTCTGCCTCCCCGCGCGACGCCGGCGCGTTAATCGCTGGCGGAATCGACCCTAAGGCGTCGCAGACGACGCGATCGCCATCAGGGGCGCCGGCGGCAACGCGACCGGTATGTGGTAATATTTACACTGGGGCCGCATGCACGCGCCCTTTACTGCGTCCCTGCACACCGTTACGCGGTTCTCGATCACCTCCACGTTTCCTGAAAATTTACAGAGATACCCAGTCAGTCGATTATCGCGTGCATGAACAACTTGCCTTCTCTCGGGCGAAGAGATCGTAACAACATCAAGCAGGGTGGAGAGCGAACTTTCTGGCCGCTGAACACGTAATTATGGATTCAAATATATATTATTTCCGTAAACATGATGACGGTTAATGATGCCAGTGACGTCATTAATATGTCATTAATACGTCAGTAGTCGTCACGTTATGATATTTGCTGATATGTTCTATGTAATAAATTGTACATAAAATGGGGGAATATTTTAACTGTCATGCTACAAAAATCATCAGTTTGTGATAAAACATATTTTCGCGTTGAAAATCATAAAGCTACAATTACCAACGAATTCCCAGGGAATTCCCAGCAAAGGAGAAACGATCTTAAATACGTCGAATAAAATATGGCCGAGGAGAGACGCGGTAGTCTGCGAATATAAATGAATTCAAAACGCGAGTGTACGGAGCGCGAAGTTCCGCATTGCGAATGAAAATAGTGTTCTCTGACTCGTCGTGACGGCACAAATTATTCGACCGTGTGGTAAAGAGTTAAAACTTGACGCTGATTGCGGCATTCATCGAGTATCAGCGCAGCGCATAAATATTCTCGATCGTGTCCTGACGGCATCCGGAAGGAATTGATGCAAATCCGCGGCGTTTCGCAAACAGGGCGCATTGTGTGTGTGTGTGTGTATCGCGCGCGTCCGCGCACAATCAATGATATGAAAAGAGTCGCTAATTGTTCCAATGAGGGCCGACTGAAGAGCGCGCTTTGTCCCTCCCTCGCGTTCACGCAGGCGTCTTGAGCAACACCGATCGCTCATTATCGCGCGTAAAACCTAATTGACGGCGGCACGACAAAAGAGAAATTCTCGTTACACACCTCCGCGCCGGAGAGCGCGCGCTGAACGTGAAAGCGAGTCGCGCTGTAAGGGTGACATTTAATAAACGCGTCGCGGGATAATGAGGGCGATCGACACGACGTCGACGCGACGTGCCCACGGCGTGGAGGTGAAATAAAAGCGCGAGAAGCACGACAGTCGAGTCTTCGGAGAGCGATAAAACTACGCGCGAATGATTTATTGCGTGTAATTGCGACGCGGCCCGCTCGCGGAATTGGCGTGGACTCGTGGGGAATCGGCCGACGAGAATGAGAGACAAGGCCATAATCGCCGACGTCTGCCTGGCCGCCCGGCCGCGGAGGATAGTTCCGTCGCGCAGGAATTTCAATAGCTGAATTTCTGCCGTCGCTCGTGATACGCTTATTTTAGCGAAACTGCCGATTTCGCCGGAAACCTCGTTACTCCGTGATACTGATCCGTGACCGAGGAGAAATTTGAAAATCGCCCAAACGCTCGACGAATATCAATTGGACGAGCAAGCCGGCGGGGAACGTTCTACTCGGCGGAGATATTTGCGCGCCCTCAGCACTAACCGAGTCGACGATCGCGGACGATTACGCGTTTTGATCTTCCGATGCCGAGATTGCGATAGAAAAGGGATCGCTTCCTTGCCGCGGCGCGAGCACCCCGCGCAAATTTCGAGCACCCGCTTCAGCCGCGTTCAGCTGCGCGCGATCAACTTCTCCTGTACTTTCCTTCACTCGTGACACACAAGTAACTCACCGTCACTGAGATGGATAAACTTGCAGGCGGGACGGTTGCACACTTGTCGATTAAAATCTTGGCACACCGGGAGGGTGTCCAGTAACTGAAAGAAAATGTGCCAGGTACTCTTATAGCGAATGAAATCGACGTATACGATTTGCAAAGAAAAAAAAAATGAAGTAGGAAAACTTATGATACTGCAGACACGCGCACACACATGCACACTCGCGAGCGTTCACGCGCACTCACGCACACACGCACGCACTCACTCACGCACTCACGCACGTGGACGTGTGACCGTGTCTCGCGCGTTTCCATCTCGCTCTCGTTTGAGTTTGCTCGAAAGTAGATCCAGTGGCCGAATTTGTAAGCGCTCGACTGCTTCGCCAGCGAAGCTTCCTCGAACTCGCTGGGTCGCGAGACGCGACCTCAATTGAACCGGTTAAAGATGCGTCGGCCGTTTATTATCGGACGCACTTGGTTGAACTCTCGAGCATCCTCACCACTCATCGGGCTCTTTCGCGCGACCATACACACTCAAGATTCTTCAGTGTTAGAGCATATTCACGGTACATTACATGCTCTAGAAGATCGTTTCGTATATGGATATTAATTAATTGCTACTTCTATGTGCGAACAATCGGCGCGATTACAAGTGATATACACATATATTCGTGACGGCACGGTGGGGTTGATGATTTTACGACGCCCTGTTAATAACGTCGCAGCCCCAATCGACCGTGACGAAACGTGACGAGTTGCGCCGAGTGCTCGCACATGCTTAATTAGGTGGTAAATTTGCAGTAGAACTTTCGTTTTCACAAACAGGGCATTTCCTATTTATGGTATGTATATATTGTGGTGTAAAATTAACCAAAAATAACCGACCGATTGCGAGACTGCGAGCGAGCCTCGCGTCTGATTGTGTTAGCTGTCTGTATTTCGAATGGACACGTCGTGCGGTTTGCCGGGATTTTGCAAAAAAGTTGGTGTTTGATTGGGCGAGAGAATCGAGGGGGATTTTCGTATTAATAGTCGTAATCGCGAGCGTGTGTGACACTTTCGTTATGCTAGTTTCCGCGACATTCCGGACACGCTGTTGTGCAAGGAGCGCGCCTACGTAGAAACGAGGATCTTTTTGATTCGCAAATTTCTCATTTCCGAGCAATCCGTAGCGCGAAGTGAGCCGCGCGCGCACGAAAGTCTACGATCCGAATACTATAAAATATTCAGCACAGCGATTGCCGCACGTTCTCACGAACAAACCAACTTTCTCCCACGCGCTTTTCACAATCTCGCGTACCCTCGCGCGCTCATTAAAAAACGACCAACGTATCCGAACGGGCACGTCTAGAATTTGCGAATCAGGTTTGGAAGCCCTCTTCTCAGCGGGCCATTCATTACAATGACTAGACCGAAATTTTAGTGTTAACAAAATACAGGAAAGCAACGGAAAGAACTGGCGGGAGCCTCGGTGAAACTCTCTTCTTTTCTCTCCGTCGCCCTCGTCTTCGATCGTGAACGACGCACCGGACGATCGGATTTGCAAACGTAATTAACCGGTTTCGCGAGATAAGAGCGATAATTACATGTAGATGTGTGTATGTATATATATAATATGTACGCACATATATTCGCGGCGCTCGCGCGAATGAAATAGACGCGCCGGACGTATCACCCCCTCGCGGTGGCAAGAAAATCTCTCTCGCATTGGAGGATCCGCTTTTCTCGTGTGAGCGGGCCAATGGCACTTCGCGCGCGCGTGATACATATATCTATATATGTGTGCAATTTCACATTTAACAAACTGCGAATGAAATAGAGAGACATGAATGCGAGTCGCAGAACATTGGCCATCGAGAGAGAATACAAATAGAGAACCCAAGTGAAGCGGAAACTCCACCCAGCTACAGCGCTACTTTGTCCGTTTTCTTTTTCTCGTATTAACCCATCGGCAAGAGAGAAGTATGCATATTATATGTACACACACACGGAAACACACACGTACACTCGTATCTAGGAGAATTATTCGTATATCCGAAATATATAAGAGAGACAAATGCAGCAAAATAGATTAAACATCAAATTCCAAAGAATGGTTTTCGTGTTAGCAAAACGTTAGGTCAAAGCATTAACAACCTACCAGACAGATGTATGGAAAAAAAAATTTAACGAAAAAAATCATATATATCAATCAAAGAAACAAAGTATTATCGCGCGCAAAAAAAAAGTATACCATAGGCTCACCATAGAAGCGTGCAAAATATATGAAAAATGTATCGCGACGGAGCGCGAGGCACGATAATAATAAAAAAACAAAGTCGTCTAGCTGCGTATGTGTTAACTCGCGACGATCTCGGCGAAGGATTGTTCCGCGCATTCGCATGTAATAACGATCGTGATATGATATTCAGTTATCTCGATAACACAAAAGTAAGAATCTCCCTTGAACGTAAACGCTCATAATATAGCATTAATGGCGACAACAATAATAATCAATAGTAATCATAATAATCGTAATAATCATAATCATAACGCCAATAATATAAATGACGTAATCATATAATGTATATTCACCATATTATGATAAACAATTCTTGCAATTGCGTAAGAGATAATTCGCTACGAACACAGAGTCTGGTCATGCAGATAATGGCCCGGGAGAAGGGGGATCGTTTTGCTTGGGTGATTATCGGTGTTACTCGAAAAAAAGTCGATTATACAAGTGTGATTAATAGACCGAAGCGTCGATTTCTGTTTGACGACGGCGACGACGACGACGGCGGCGGCGGCGGCGACGGCACGACGACGACGACGACGACGACGACGACGACGACGACGACAACGACGACGACGACGACGACGACGACGGCGACGACGACGACGGTGACGACAGCGAAAATGACACGACGTAAGGTCCGTGTATCAGCGATGATAATACAGTGTCATCACCCAAGCGTTAGTGTGCTGCCAAAAGCCGACTCACCGTCGGTCTTGGTTCGCGTGCGTGAATTACTGGACCGAAACACACACATCCACTCACTACGGAAAGCTACGGAAAAAAAGGAGTCCTCGGGTGATCCACGCCAGCGAACCAAATTGACGAGGGCGGCCGCGGTGGCGAGAAGGGGTGGGTGAGTGGGTGGATGGGTCTGGATAGTCAGCGGTTATCGGCAATATATCGTATAATAATGGATGTGGGATGTCGTATATAAGCCGTCAAATTAATAATATTCTACTGCAAATAAGTTCAACACTATGTCAACTGCGACTCCGCAACCATAACGACAGAGCTGGTCAAATATGTATGTATGTATATATATATATATATATATATATATATATATATATATGTGATAGAGAGAAAGAGAGAGAGAGAGACTTGGTTTCGAACAAAGAACAATACGCGACGATCGTCGCTGTTAGACACGATCGTCCACCGTGCGGGGAAAGCTTTGTCAAATGGAGATGATTTTCGTTGGCTTCGTAATACGCTCGGGCAGTCGTGCATCGTTAGAAAAACTAGGAATTAGATGAGCTCTCGCGCGCGCGCTCTCTTCTTTCAAAATTCTGTGTCCATGTATTCTATTTCTTGTGTGTATGCTTTCGCTTTTTTTTCCACACCGGCACGCGTTACGGAAGTTAATTGCGTCGAAAGCGATCGGTGCAAGCGCAAAAGGAGGCACTCCGTGTCGCTTCTTCTGTTTGACCAAAGTAAGCGAGCGATTCGATCGGAAGCTGCGTGTGTTTTAGCTCTGAAACGTGAGGGGGATGCTGACCCTCGAGTCGCGACGAACCGTGAATAATATAATTTTTCGAATTCAAACCGCTCGAATTTATCGTGTCGCGTGTACAATGCAATCTGTGCTAATCGATCGTGTTTCCCTATTTCCCTCGCGCAATTTCGTGGAAGATGAAAAGTTTCGTCGAACTCGTTAATGAAGCTTTTCACTTGCATCACGAAATTTGCGCGAAGGAAACGAGTACACGATCGATTCGCAGACTAGCGCCTTACAATTTTAAGGCGCGTTACGTGACGCGATCGCATTGCAGACGATTCTTTACTCTTTTCGCGGCCGCGTGTTAATCAGAAAAGTGAAGAGCGCAAACTCGCGATATTCGCAAACGTCTCAAGTGGAAGAGAAACGTTCGGTCTCGACGTGTTTTGTCAACCGTTACGAAAAATACGTTCCTGCGATTTCTTCCACACGACACTCTGAATCTACGTATCGTAAATCACGCCATTGTCATTGGCCCGATAAAGATGCGGACAGCCCCGTCGTCGGCGAGAAATCACTTTACCGGCTTTTTCTTTTCTCTTTCTTTCCTTAACTCGAGTTTTCGAAACGCGACTCGACAAACTTTTCCGCGCACGCGACGAGCTCGGATTTCGACGATTATACGGCGAGTAGTGCCGCGGATCGTGTAACAATGTGAAAATCAACGCGGTGCATGCGATGCCAACCAGGGTAGTTACCGTAATTTGCGTTTTTTAGAAGGGAAAGGGAGATGAAACGAAAGTTTCGCGCGACGCGATCGCCGGCCAGCCAGTCGAATGGCTTTTGTGTGAAAAACGATCAAGACGATTCATCGATGGGAAAGTGAGAGAGAACTTTTCAAACTGTCGGATAATGTATTCCAAATGATATTTGGCGCGAGACAGAGCCCGCGCAATATTATATATTATATATAGGGCGACGCGAGAGCCGTAAATTCACACAACGTATCGACCGTTATTGCAAACACGAGCGAGAAGAGGCACGAGGGAAAAATTGCGTTTTCAAGAATCTCCTCGCATTTGATCCGAAAGTGAAGTTCGTGCTCCCTGGTTGCATGACACGCGCTCCCTTCGTGTCAACAGCGGTGTAATATTAATGAGCATGCAGTATACACGCCCGACACTCGTAACAGCTGTCCATATCGTAATTGCTACTTGCGGTAAGATGCACTGCGAGAGTAAGAAAAAAAAATAAACAAATAGATATACTGAAGCGGTACAAGGATGGAAGTTGCTCTCAGACGTAGCATTAGATTCAGTCGTAACGTATACAAAGAAATGTTTAAAATACATCCCGACAATATATCCTCATCCACAAATAACGCGCAACGTTAATCAGACAAGCGGTTCAAGACAATGGCATGATAGATATAATAATAATAATAATAATATATATATGTATATATATATATATATATATATATATATATATATATGTAGATACATGGCAAAAGTACTAATCATACTAATTACTGTATAAGAAGCGTGCATCTCTTTCTTCGTGAATAAGTTTGTGACGTGATGTACGTGTATGGCGAATGTATACGTGTGTATGTATCGTTCCTGTATCGTGTCTCTGCATGTAACGTGTGAAGGGGTTGGGGGCTGGGGCGGAGGTGACGACAACGCTTTCGAAATAGCATAATAATAATTATTGGTATAATAATAATAGACAAACACCAGATAAGGCAGTGGTTATTCGCAGTTATAGTTGCGGTGAGCAGTCGTGAGGGAGATGCCCCCAAAAGCTACGTGTTAGCCAAAGTTACCGAGAGATGCAGATTACCGAACGGCTCGCTCTTTTCGGTCGATCGCGACACAAATGAATAGTTCGTCCTCGCTATCTGCGACAGCGAGGAAGCTGAGGACCCACAGAGCGACACCCGATACATCCTTCTCCCCCGTTAACCTTGAAGGTTAGCAGCAATAAAAGTTCGAGCTTGCATCAAAGCGCCGTGTGACTTGTAGCTTCTCGAGTCTGAGAGAATTATCGGCTGGAGTCGTGACAGGAAAAGAGAAAGAGAGATAGAGAGAGACAGACAGATAGACAAGTGTTGAGCAACACGCGTAAAGTAATTCGCGCAATCTTCTCAAGGAGAACGGAATGCAAGAATGAAGACCCTGGCTGACTTCCTGAAACTTGATCCGGGCGAACCAGGCGGTAATACATGATCCCCCCGGGATCTTCAGGAAATCGACAGTCGAGCAGAGTCGCTCCCGGCACGACGATTTCGCGCGTGCACGCTAAAACATCCCCTCAACCGGTCTCGCTCGACCGGCGCTTCTGATGCAAACTCGAGACCGGATAAAAAACTGGTTACAATAATGAGTCTACCTGTCCGCAGCTGTCTGTGTAGACGACACAGTGAGCGTTTTGGGGGACCACTTGGGCCCCGACAGTGGCTAAGGCTGCTAAGGCGATCCACATGCAGCAAACGAGGCAGTGTTCGTACGGTATATTTTTTTCAAGTATCGGTAGTATTTTTTTTTTTTTGTTTTGGTGGTCGTTCATTACCACAGTCGGTTGAATTCAGTGGAGAGAAGGCACCAGATCAAAGGAGACACGCGATGGAGCGTGCCCTCGGAGCATCCAGGTACATGTACGATAGTGAAATCGAATTTGTTTCATACATTGTTTGGTTTTTTTTTTCAATGTGTTTAATGCGCATCGTTCGTTTCGTTTTATCGTTGTTGTTATTGTTATCGTTTTTGTTTTTCGTTTTTTTTTGGAATCAAGCACTCCATGAAGGAACATGATGAGTCGTCGGTTAAATTGCAGTCGCAATCGTTCGTCGTTCCGATTAATGCGCGCGCGGGAACATGCCGGGACGCGGGAGTGGCGAGCGCGCGTGAAAGAGCGCGGAAAAAATGAAAGCGTAAATTACGGAAAACGAAAGTGTAAATCGTCGGCTTGACGTCGCGCCCGCGTATTTCGTTTGGTATTTGTGTTTTTTTTCCCGGGATTCGTTTACGTGCACGGTCGTACGAACGGTGAGATAGAGACAGACAGAGATAGAAAGAGAGAGAGAGAGAGAGAGAGAGAGAGAGAGAGAGAGAGAGAGAGAGAGAGAGAGAGAGAGAGAG